AGCCTTTTTAAGTACTTGTTACTCTTTCTTGTATTACTTTAATAAACACTGTTTTTTAAAAACAGTCTAAAATTATTATTATATGATTTTCACCAACTAGGCACCGTCGGCGCACGCGGCGTGTTGCGTAGAAACTAYACGGGCAAAAAACCAGTTGTCATACAACATCGCTCTCAGGATGCCGTCAATTATTACGAACATGAAAATGTAAATTTTTGGTTTTTTACCTTCATGCATATTCAAACGACTACTTATTTACATTTTTAGGGTGCCAAAATAATAAAATCCTCACATTTTGAATTGGATTATACGCTGGGAAGAAAAATTACATTCTTCTGCATGGCACAGGGTAGGTGAAATGGCATAATTTGACAGTAGAATGTATAATGCTTTTATAAAAATTTATAATATGATATATTATACTAAATAAAATTTCAAAAGTTAAAAAAAAATTCGGAAAATTTGTATTTTTTAATAAAATTTTTTCTAAACTCTCTGTAGGCAATCCACGTCCCACAATCACTTGGTTCAAAGATGGTGCCGAATTATATCAGCATCGATTTTTCCAGGTAAAAAAATATAAAGACAATAGACGGAGACGATTTCAGATTTTATATGAGTATTCGATTTTATATGAATATATTCATACGTATATGGTACTTTGGGAAAACTCAAAGTCAGCGCGTGGRCGGGTTTGTCGCTAAAATTTTTTAAAGATACTGTTGAAAGTTGTGGATACATTGGAAATACATATGCCTAAAAAAGCATATATTTTTTTTTTCAAACCACGAACAGTTTATGTAGACAAATCCGGTTCAAATTTGATCTTATGTATAAAATATTTTTTGACTTCAAATTAAATGTTCAAATTTTTTAAATTAAAATTTTCATAAAATAAAAATTTTTCAAGTTACAATTCTCAAATTTTTTCAAGTTAAAATTTAAAAAAAAATTTGTATTAAACCACGAACATAAATGACCCTCTTTGAAGAGATACTGTGAAAATTAAAGTTTTTTTTATTAATATTTATAAATTGGAAGTAGACGACAATATGGGTTTCGATCTTTTCGACTAAACAGCTCAACAGTAATTTATCAAAACCTTCTTCCTTTTAACAACTTTCTAGGTACATGAGTCACACATTGATGTGGATATAATMAAATCAAAAATGGAAATCGATCCGACTACACAAATGGATGCAGGTAGCACGATTTATTTGAACTTTTAAACAAAAAAAGTATATTTTTTCTAACACCTTTTTATTATAAAAATTCACAGGCTACTATGAATGCCAAGCGGACAACATTTACGCAATCGATAGACGCGGTTTTCGCACCGATTACGTTATGATTAACTTTTAGTAAATACAATTTTCTAAATACCAAACTTTTGTGTAAATTTTTTTTAGAAAATGTATACGAATAAATATTGCACGTAATATAAAATAAAATATATAAATAAGTACTAACAGTTAATTTTGTATGCATATTTAACACCTTTATATACCATTCCGAATAAATTTTGATTTAAACCAAATCAGTCTGCGTCGAATTACCTGCAATGAGCAGCCTAATAACAGTAGGGACCATGAGCGAGACCTACAAAAACCTTGCGTATCTACAAAATCTAGTATACTACAAATTCTGTGATCCGAACCAACCTAGTAGAATAATATTTGGCGACAAATTGTCACAATTATTTAATTCAGGCAATTTTCGGTTTAACGTTRTAAATATTTGTTTATGCTGACTTCTGGCCCCAGACAATTGGGTGTAAATGAGCAAATTGTAACAGAGTTTAAGTGATTTGCTGTGGCGTAGCAAATTACAGTGGAATTTGAATGGAAATTTTTGATATTATATTATAAACCTGCAGATAGTGCTCCTTATGTTTAATGTATAATAATAATTGTATTATTATTTTACAAATAATAAATAAATAAATAATATTATAAAATAAAACTGTAGTGAAAGATTTTTTTTTTATTTTTAACTTTGAAACTGGCAGAAGAATAGTTTGCAATTATTTTAAAGCTTTTAAAAATTTTACCAAATTAAAATTTTAAATGTTTAAATTCTAGATTTTAAATGTTTAAATTTTTTCAAATTAAAATTTGCAAACTTTTTCAATTTCTAGTTTGTTACTGTACTATGACCCGAAATAGAAAAAGGTATTTATCAATTCGAAATAAATATATTAAAACCAATAAAGTCAAATCTACTAAATTTAAAACATTTCTTTTAATACAATATTATAATGAATTTTAAATAAAAACAASCTGTAAGATGCCCTAACGCCTGTAATTAGGCAACAAATAGCGTTTTCATTTATGAAAGCAAGAAAATATTTATTTTTCAAAATTCACAACGCCTAAAAATATGTAGCTAAACTTGATTTATAAATAAAACTTAACATTACAGCTACTTTTAGTAGCCTACTAAGTTGACATTGCAAAAATTAGTATGCAGCGCACTGTGCCACAAAATATTATACTTGAAAACTAYTAAACAAATTTAAAGCATCCAAAAAAATATAATAAAATTTGCTCCATGACCTAAAAGTAGACAGATACGGAAGGGTGTCACATGCTTATCATAGTGTCTGCAAAGCTTGTGCGAATTAATCAATGCATATAGCGCTGAAAGTTGAAAATATGCCATAAATGGATAAGTGCCAAGTGGCTGWGAGTGAAATTTCGTGATATGTAGGTGCAAAGGTACAACACAAACACGTTGTGGCCCCCTGCAAAAAGTGTAGCTTTCAATTTTCAAATTTAACAAGACACATGCTGCGACTAACGGTCCTTTGCATTACGTCCAAACACAAACACACAATTAAGCCGAACAACGTGATTGACTGCAGATTCAGAAAATATCCACTGTTTAGTCGTATTTATCCGGTCGAAGTGTACAGCAAGCAATAAGACGGCAGCGATCGTAACGGGCGAGCGTATAGCGCTAGTTAAAGTGTTAACACCCTCGAGCCGTACCGAAACGTAACCGAGCCCAAATTGAAATAAATTATATACAAAACATTACTAAAGTGGTTTCGAAAAATAAACAACTATTTTATAAATTAAGTATTATTTCAAAAACTGTTTTCGTGCAACAATTATATTGCAAAATAAATAATATTTTTGCACAACCACTAATTGTTATAAAATCATGAATGTAAAAGTGCTTTTGATTTSTTTTGGCATGCTAATATTGAGTTGTCAAGTGTGTGATGGCCGACGTGGACGCGGTCGTGGACGCACCAAATCGCGAGTACGTGCGCTTGAGTAGACTAAACACTAATGGTTAATTAATCAAAATAAATGTTTCAAATTTGCAGGTACAAATCGGTTTACCCATAACGGGCAAATATCGCGATCCTGAGTCGGATCAGTATTACAACAATAATAATGTAAGTTTATAGTAATTTCGAAATTGATATTTGTTTTATTGAATATAAAACAATATTTTTGATTTATAAACGCTTTGTCAAACATGACACCCGTTATTCTAAATAMAAATAGCGCTTATTAAAATTATTTTTTCACAAAATTTAAAAAACCCTTATTAAAAAATTAAATCTTACCACACTTGTTTGAAATCATTTACAGGGCGCAAAAATTTTGCAAGCCTCGCATTTTGATTATGAATACGTTTTGGGTCATAAAATTGCTTTCCTTTGCGTGGCCAAAGGTAATCCACGTCCACACATAACCTGGTACAAAGATGGCACAGAGATTTTTCARCATCTCTATATGCATGTGAGTACACAAATTAACAGCTAATAATGCGCTTTTCAATTAACTAACTATTTTGACAGGTACATGAGTGGCGCATTGGCGAGGATAAAGTCAAATCGAAAATCGAAATCGATCCGGCCACACARATGGATGCCGGTCTTTATGAATGCACTGCTGATAATATGTACTCAATTGATCGGCGTAGTTTCAAGACAGATTTCTCTATTGCTTTCGATTAATTTTGTGATGTTTGCATTTTTATAATACTATCATAGCTTTTTCATACCAAAAATAGCTTTTCTGTGCAGCGTTATTTTAGGCCGTTAATGAAGTTTTACAAATAAAATTTAGTTTTAAAATATAGAAATGTTTTTCACTCACGTAAATGAGGCCTTCACAATGTCCACATAGTCGTGTGAGCGCGCATAGTAGCCGCCATCGGAAAGTGCACCCCAGAAATTGCTCCATAATTCATCGTATTTGCTCACCACAGGCGCAACGAATTGTCTGCCATGAAAATAAGTTTTTGTGTTACCAAACAAAGGAATTATTTAATTAAATAAACTACCTATTCATGATTAACAACTCGCGCAGCAATTGCGGGTCATCTATTTGCACAGCGGCGTCCACGAAGAATATATAGTCGCTATGCTTTTGTTTGGCCTGTTGGCTGTGTGAGAAAAAGAAGCACATAATGCAATTAATAATTTAACAAAAAAAAAWAAAAAAAATKTATATTTTTAACTTTTTCTTTAAGAGATAACAAACTTAAAGCCAATTTAGAGTTGTTTTGAAATTAAAAAATACAATAAAAAAATTTTAAATGCTTCGGAGTGGGTATTCCATCTTCGGAAAATAACAATTTTTCTATACAAGAACTTCCAATTTGGGAAAATAACGAAGTTTTCATACAAGAACTTGAGTCCGATTGTTCGGCTTGCATAGCAAATGTATGATGTAGTAGTCCGATCTAAAAACATTCTAAAGATTTTGTACTATTAATTATTATTGTTGTTAACATTGTATGGCAGCTACATGCAGTTGCACTATTGCTTTAGACAATAACCCATGCTAAATTTCATAAAAATATCTCATCAGCCGAAAAAATTCTCCATACTGGCACTTGATTCTGAATGTTCAGTTTKTATGATTCGATCTAGAAAATTTCTTCAAATACCGTTACCGTTTCCTTAGAAAGTAATTTGTACGAAATTTCGGAAAGATATCTCGTCAAATACAAAAGATTTTCATACAAGGACTTTATTCCGGTTGTTCAGTTGRCATGGCCATGCAAGAGCTCGACTCCGATTGTTCAGATTGTATGGCAGCTATATGCTATATTGGTACGATCTGGTATTCAGCGATTCCGACAAAGAGCTTCTTGGGAGAAAAGGACGTGTGCAAAATTTCAGATCGATATCTCAAAAACTGAGGCACTAATTCATGTATTTACAGATAGACAGACAAAGGAACAGACGTAGCTAAATCGGCTCAAATCAACATCGCCAGTATTTAGTGAGATATATTTTAAAGCATATCAGACATTTCATTTGGGTGTTGCAAGCTCCGTGGCAATCTCAATATAGCCTCTGCAGGGTCTTAATATAATTTGAAGCCTCTAATTTTTTTCTCAAAATTAGTAAAAAACAAAAATAAAAATTTGCAACTATAAATGAATCTAAAACTTACAGCGCCAATTCACGACCGTGTTGCTCATTCAGCTCATCGYTGGAAAGCACAATTTTCGCGCTGCGATACTCCTTTTCTACGCGTTTCAGAAAAGTTTGCGCCATATCATCATGGAATTTTTGCTGTAATTACAATTGAATTAATATGTTTTCTATAAAAAAAAATAGGTCGAACGTACATTACTGTAAATGAATAGATGCAAATTTTGCTTTGGATAGTTCAGGTTTTCGATTTTCTGCAGAAACATATCGAAGAAAGGCACTGTTTCTGTTATGATGAGCGCTACGGACACTATGGGCAGGTTCTTTTCCTGCAAATTAAACATTTGTTATAACTTTTTGCATAACTATTTGCACATATTTAGGCATTAACTCACTTGCAATTCCAAACGATCTTCCTGACATATCAAACATTCACCATGGAACGTTTTCGCCAAATAATTTGCAAATGCATTTAACTCGACTTTACTCGGTCCATTACCGTGTATAATACTCGGCTCGGTCATAAAGTTAATATTCTGCAATTTGCCCTCATTTGAGTCCAAGTCCACATTCAGCTTGACATCTTCACGTGCACCATTCAAATTCTGGAACAAACGCGATTGCGTATCCAATTGTACGCTCAATTTTTTACGTTTATCAACATCAAGAAATATTTTCGTATAGTAACGTTGATCATCATCATCGTCTTTGATTTCCTCAGCGCTTAAAATGGTATAAATCTCCGGTGCATAGCCGATAAAGGCGCCAGAGTTCAGGTATGGCGATGAGTTGGCCTCCGACACTGGTGGATATGCCTTAGCCAATTTCACATCAGGCCAACAGAATTTCTCTGCAGAGAAAAGCACTCTAGCGCCGAATTCTTTGAATTTCCTATAAATATCCTTAAGGCCGGTGGTGAAGACGACATCGTAGCTGTGAAGAAAGTAGTGGGAGCATGGTTAAGTAAATAGCTAATAAATTTGTTTTTACGGTTACCTGTCGGTGAACAAAATAATTGTGTTTTTCTCATYTTTGAAAGGCTCGACAGCTTCGCGAAGCAAGCGTATTTTATAGCCGCCACCCAAACCATTCATATTGCCACCTTTCCACTCCTCATCCATGCCAAGCGTATTCACCTGCAGATTGAGTAAATAAAAGCTTTACAGTTTTTCTAAACATAATTAGTATACATACATGCAAWCATGTACATACATATATTGTATAAGTTAATATACATAAATACATATAATAATAGTAAAGCTCAACGACCTCTYATTTTATAAGGTTTTTTAATAAACAAAACAAATTTTATATCACTGCATTGCTTGCTTTTCTTTATTGCTTTGCTAATAGCAATTCAAAACTTGAGCATCAAGCTTAGTATGTATTAATCATTGTGTTGTGCATTCAAGTAAGTTTTTGTTCATTCAATAAAATTTACAGTTTCGAATTTTATTATTTTGTTTGCATCAACTTGCCATCGGCAAGAAATAAACTCAGAAATTAAGATTTTTATTATTATTGAATGTCATATTATAGCTTTTATTGTGATATTTTTCAATTAATGTAATTATATACCTAATATAAGGTTTACGAGGGTTACCACAAAAGTGTTGATCATTAGGTTAAATTAAAAAACTTTACATCATTAGGAAAAAATATGGTTTAAGACCTACTAAATTAGATATCAAATTTTCTTCTCTTCCGCTATAGCTATATTAGTTAAAATTAAGAAAAATAAGAAAAAATGGTAAGTTCACAAGCTATAGTACTATTCACAGGTGCAACTTTTTATAAAATTTTATAAAAATATAGAATATTTATCTTAATTTTTATCGGTTAGTTTGTATGACAGCTACAAGCTATAGTGGTCCAATGTGTCCAATTTCTTCAGAGATTTCATCAGTGCCTTAGGAAATAACCCATGCCAAATTTCGTAAAGATATCTCGTCAAACGCTATTAGTGAAAAGGAATCAACAGCCTCGGACGAGAGACAATAATGATTATCTGTATTACTAGATTCCAGCATAGGAAAATTCACCAAGCACCCCGCCAGTTCCGGATCGAAAAGACACCAACCTTAAAAACAGACATGGCTACATCGATCCAGATCTTTATCTCTAGAATTTATATACATACTGTATAGGGTGTCTGACGTTTCCTTATGGATGTTATAAACATCATGGCAAACTTCGCAAAACGTTGAGGTTGCGAAAGTCTTCTGACCCAGAGTGGAACGTAAAAGATAAATTGACTGAACGTAAAAGATAAGTTAACTGGTAGCTCTTAGCAAGGCTCACATCGCCGMAATGACAGATATCCTAACTGGACACTGGCCCATTGACATTTCGGAGGACGCAACTTGTCAAAGTTGCAATGAAGAAGATGAGTTGAAAACATCGGCAGACTAGAGTTGAAGCATCTCGGTTTGCAATAATTTTTTTGAAACTGAAAAACTTTCTGACTTTCTGAAACAATGATCATTGCTGCGCTTCGCAAAATTCCGCATTAAAGCAGGAAAATAATAGAAATTAGAATAAAATTAGGGTGGATACCCATTTTTTAAGACCATGAACTCAAAGATTAAGCACGAGAAGCGCCGCTTAAAACTTTTAGGGCGCCATTTTCATTACATATGCCTATATTATATGTATATAGGTAAGTAAATACTTAATTGTATAAAAATATAACTAAATAAAATTACAAACAAATGGTTTCAAATGACCCCAATGTCTGTCGCAACTGATGTATAAAAGAATTTGACTTATCAGCAAGATTTATTTCAGGCACGACCACCTAATTCTTGGCAATTGTCGCTTTGACTGCATAAACTGAATGGTTTTAATAATTGTTTGTCTCAAATCGCAACATACATATATGTATGTATATAAATGTAAATTTGAACACGTAAGTATATACAAACATTCGTGTATATAGAAACATGGAGATAGAAATGTACATAAAAATCATAAATACGAAACTTTGACGAAGCTGATAAGCGTAAGCCRGCAAAGCTGAGCTTGTGAACCGGTAGTGGCTTATCTAACACCAGAAAACSTTTTGAAAACTGAGCTGCTGTTAAATAAGGGCGCAAAAAATACATACTAAGTGGTTTTTTACCAAGAATTAAAGCTTTTCGGGGTAAGGAAGGAAAAGAATCAACATAAAATTTTGTATACACTAAAATACAGGTTTAATAAAGTCTGGAGCATTCCTTTGATTTTTTTTTTTTTCAGTCTTAGACTAACCTGACGAGGACAAGACGAAGTATATCCTGTCATTTAAGTCGTTGCCTCGTGATTTGGCTCCCACGTCACTATTGACAGTCATAACTTCGAAKTCGYAGATAATTTCGTCTATCTTAGAACCAGTATTAACACCAACAACAATGTCAGCCTCTTCGGACTAAGTAGGCAATTAAGAAGTAAAGTCCTCTCTCGACGAATAAAAACCAAACTCTATAAGGCAGTGATTATTCTCGATGAGTCGCCGTTACGAGTCTTCGAGAAAAAGGTTGTGCGGAAGGACTTTCAACTCAGCATAATTCTGCCGCTACAACAACAACTTGGTATATCGAATTGGCGCCAAATTMCGAAAAGAAGAAAGGACTGGTGTGTTTGGTTGATCTTGGTTTATTATTTGAAAACCCTATATTCATCGAACGTAGCATTAC